CTTTTAATACATGAAGTTAGGTGAGATTTTTGTTTGTTTTTTTTTTCACAGTTGGTAGAGGGGAAAAGATAACTTGGAGAATTTCAATTTCTCAAACCCTACAAGAACACTAAAAAAAAAAAACTTAGTATATCAGTTGTTTTTTTTTTATCATCATAACCAAACAAAGAGCAATAGAAACTATAGCCTTAGTTTTATACTGAATAGCCTCTAATGGGCATTACATTCCAAAGCTAGTAGCTTTAATTTAAATATGTACCACTTTTTTGAATCATCAAAGAAAGAATAAATTATATTCAATTCGATTTTTAATTAGATTTCTTTGAAAATTGTTGGTTGAAGATGGTGGAGAAAAGGCAGAAACTCACCCAGGTTCTCTCAAATTCCCCTCCAAACAACTTTAAATAATTCCTCAGAATGAATTCTATAACTGCAGAACCCACAAAAGGATGGGATTGAACAATTTTCCAACCCAAGACAACCTAGAAGGTCAGCCGGGAGGGTCTGGTGAGATTGGAGGTGATAGTGGAGCACAGCTGAGCACAGACTATCCCTAGATAAGTCAGCAGCAGGCAACTAAATCTGTAATGGTAGCTTCTGGAGCTCTTGACCCACAAGCAATAAAGAAGTTGGGCAATTGGTCAGGAGAATACAAGGGAGCCTTTGCAACTACTGGTTGCCTTACTCTATTGTATTGCCCATGCATGGATCTGGGTGGAGTCCTAGGATGAAGAGTAGAACTAGCACATCAAAGCTTGTGGCTGCAAGAGAGTAGGGACCCTGGTCACAGTTCCAGGTGAGAAAAGAGTGCTTATGGTCACTCACAGACCAGAGCACAGGTCAGGAGAGTAGTAAATATAACCCTCCTTAGATCACATCACCTTGTAAGAACTGAAAACTTACAAATCCTCAGAACTAGCTCTGAAAACAACCACACAAAAAATCTGAAGCTCAGGACAATGCTCCCTCCACCCCAGGAACAAAAACCAACTTTAACATAAAGTTAAAAATCAAGAAACAGTCTGGGAAAATGAACAAACAAAAGGAGAAAACAAAAGAACCTGACCATAGAAAGTTACTATGGTGACAAAGAAGATAAAAACAAACTCAAATGACAACAAAGTAAAAAACTGCTGCATCTAAAGCCTCAAAGAAAAATGTGAACTGGCTTCAGGCCCAAAAAAGGATACCTGGAAGAGTTAAAAAGAATTTTGAAAATCAAAAAAGAGAGGTAAAGGAAAAACCAGGAAAAGAAATCATAATGATACAATAAAAATAATGAAAAAAAGAGTCAACATCTTGGTAAAGGAGGCACAAAAATTGATCAGAGAAATGCAAATTAAAGCAGCTCTGAGGTACCACCTCACACCTATCAGATTGGCTGATGTGACAGAAAAGGAAAGTGACAAATGTTGGTAGAAATGTGGGAAAATGGAGACACTAATGTACTGTTGGTCGAGTTGTGAACTGTTCCAACCATACATGAGAACAATTTGAACTATGCCCAAAATGTTATAAAACCATGCATACTATTTGACCAGCAATACCACTGCTAGATCTGTATCACAAAGAGATTAAAAAAAAAAGAAAAAGACCTATACATGGAAAAATATGTACAACAGCTCTTTTGTGGTGGCAAAGAATTGGAAATTGAAGGGAAGACCATCAGTTGGAGAGTAGCTGAACAAGTTTGATATGTGATTGTGATGGAATAGTGTTAATACCATAGGAAATAATGAGGAGGATGTTCTCAGAAAAATACTTGTACTTACATGAACTGATGCAAAGTAAAATGAACAGAACCAGGAGAACATTGTACAAAGTAATAACAATATCACATGATGATCAACTGTGAATATCTTAGCTTTCTCAGCAACACAATGATCTAAGACAATTCTGAAGGACTTACGATGAAAAATGTTATCCATATCCAAAGAAAGAACTGATGGAGTCTGAATGCAGATCAAAGCATCCTTTTTTTAACTTTCTTTATTTTTCTTGTTTGTGTTTTTTTTGTCTGTGGTTTCTTTTACATGACTAATATACAAATATATTTTGCATAAGTGCAGATGTATAACCTTTATTAAATTACTTGCCTTCTCAAGAAGGGGGCTGGGGAGGGAGAGGGGGAGGGAGAGAGGAAGGAAGAGAATTTGAACTCAAAATTTTTAAAAACAAATGTTAAAAAACTGTTTTTACATGGAATTGGGGAAAAACAATATTACATGTAAAAATTGGTTTTAGGAAAAAGAAAGTTATACACACATATGCCTAAAATCATATGTATGTATGCATGCATAATACATATTTATGTATTTTATGGGACCACAATGCATATATGTGCATGTGTATGCATATATACACATACATACATAGGATTACTATAAACCCCAAATACTTGATTGGCTAGAACACTTTTATGCTTCTTTCAACCTTTATAACTTAGAGTTTACTGTACCCTCAACCTTTTCACTGAGAGTCAGTCAGTTATCCTCAGTTTTTTAAAGTTATCCTCAATTTTTCCCTTTCTCTCATTGTTCAGATCTGATCATTTGCCGTATCTTCTCAGAACTAGAAGAAGCCTTCATATTTCTTTCTTATTGTATCTGTCCATTTCCCTTCTGTTCATTCATGTGGTTATCATCCTAGTTCTACTCTTTGTTACATTTTGCTTGGTCTATTGTAGCACCCTCCCATTTTAATTTTCAGCTTTCAGTCTTTCTCCCCTCCAATTTATTGCCACACAGATGTCAAAATAATCTTCCTAAAGAACAAATAAGACCATTTACCTCACTTTCCTGGGTGAGAATCTTCAGTGGCTCCCTATTAATTCATGGGAAAACACAAACTCTTCAGCTTGGCAATTAAAGTCCATTTTGAAGCTAGCCTGCTTTCCAGCCCTATCACATATTACTCCTTCATTTGATTTCCCAGACAAACCAGTAAGTCTACTCATTCCCAAACTTTAGACACCATTATTTCAACCTCCTTGCGCTTGTTTAGATTTTCTATCATTCTTAGCCCTCCCTTCTGACTTCTGCCTCTTTAGTTCCCCAGCCGCACCCAAGGTTCAGTTTGCTGACATGTCTAAATGAAAAAGATCTATTCCCCTTAATTCAAGGGTTCTTAAACTGGGAACAATTAACTTTTTTGTCAATTATATTGTTAATATAATTGTTTCCCTTTGTTATCCTGTGTACTTATGCATTTAAAAACATCATCTAGAGAACTGGTCCATGGGCTTCACCACACTACCGAAAGAGTCCAAGATACATAAAAATGGTTAAGAACCCCAATCTTGTTTGCTAGTACTTGCTTCCTCCTTATTCAGTAATCATGGACATTCTTATCCATATATATCTTTTATCTCCCCAATAGGTATAAGATCCTGGAGGACAGAGACTATTTTTTTGATTTTATATTTGTCTCTCCACAAGCACTTAGCACAAAGCCTGAGACAATAGAAATAGCTAAGGGGCCCAGAAAATAGAGTATTGTACCCATAGCCAGAAGATCTGAATTAAAATATGACAACTGACATTTACTAGCTGTGCAATCCTGAATAAATTTCCTCATCTATAAAAAGGGATAATAATAGCATCTACCTCTTAGGTTTATTCTGAGGATAAGATTGACTGATATTCGTAAAGTGCTTTGTAAACCTTAAATTGCTATACAAATGCTGCTTATTTATTATTATTATTAGTATCTTGTTAGGTTACATTAGATTTGATGCAATTGTCATCTAAGTGCGAAAGGGAGCCCTGACATTTATTTTAGGTGAATAATAAATGCATATAGATTCATAGTGACATATTGCATTTTTCTACTAGTCAACCTCGATTCTCAGGGCTTATGAATAACAAACCACAATGAAGCACTAAGAAACTGCTGCTTTAGTACTTCCATGAAAATATTAAAAGCCTATATCAAAGAAAACCTTCTCTAACATTGATCAGAATCCGTTAAGTTATACCCAGAACCAATTTACTTTCCCTGGAGTCCTGTGGATAGGTAATGAAATAAGCCTGGATTGAATGCCCAGAGATGACTAGAGGTTGTAGAGAATTTCTTGAATAGAATGCAGTCCCAGCCTTGTGAATGAAAGGGAAAGGTGACAATGAATTAAACATTTGGCACCTTTAGAACCACAGGACTGTAGTAAGTCTGTGAGTCATTCATAACCAGACAAAGCTTTTCATATTTTAGAAATCTCGCTCTACAACCCATAACACTGCAAAGAGGAGTCTTAAGTAAGATCAAGCACAGATAATTTCATATATATATATATATATATATATATATATATATATATATATATATA